TGGGGTGGGTCAGCGTGGAGAAGAGGAGCTCAGGACAGAGCTCTGCAGCCCTGACAGGAGGCTGTGGGAGAGGATGTCAGCCTCTGCTCCCAGGTAACGGCGACAGGGTGAGAGTGATGGCCTCACGTTGAGGGTCAGGTTGGGTATTGGGAACAATTCCTTCTCTCCAAGAGCAGTGACACAGTGGCACAGTTGCCCAAGGATGGGGGGAGACACCGTCCCTGGGGGTGTCCCGGAGCTGTAGGGATGTGGCACTGAGGGACGTGGGCAGTGGGCACGGTGGGGGTGGGCTGGGGTTGGACTTGGGGACGTGAGAGGTCTTCTCCAACCTCAGTGATTCTGTGATTCTGTTTCTTCATCCCAAAAGAGATCGGTGATTGGTACCACTACCAGTTTGTGCAAAATCAGAGAACCCCTCTGCCCAAAAATAGGGAGAGTGTTTCATTGGTTTTCATTTAATGCTTTGGTTTAAACACTGAGCTAAAAAAAATATAAGTTGAAGATAAAAACATGGATAAGCAACCTCTCACTTGATCAGATGGGTACACACAGCCCTTCTCTGTCCTCCACAGCTGGAAGCTGAGCAGTCATATCAGGCAGGGGACAGGCAGCCTGTATTCAGTGTGGGCACCCCTCCTGAAAGGTGTTCCCTGCAGTACACAGGAAAATAATCTGAGGTTTAATCAATGTCAAAGTGTCATCCCTCCTCCTGGGAGTTACCTGTAGGTTGCAATTAAACCTGCCTTCTCTTGGTTCAGTTGTGCGCAGTGATGTTTTCAAGATCAAATCATCTGTCAAAAAAAAAAAAAAAAAAAGAAAAAGGAGGATTTACATGCAATTTATTAGAGGTTTGGCACACACCAAGACTTCAGAAAGTTCAGTGTCTGTTTTCTTTAAGGTGACGGCTTTTCTTAGGATCAGGCTCAGTAAATCAGCGTGTAGCATCAATCTGTTTTTCCAGGCCGTCACTTGCACTGTAAGCAGGCATTTTATTGTGTTCCTTCCTCATGCTCAGAGTTTTTATGACTGTCCTGAGAGTTTTAATTTTGCAAGAAGGAGGTTGGAGGTCCTGGCTGTCTGTGGCCAAGTGGAGGCAGAAGTTGTTGTTCACTGCCTGGCAAACGTGGTTCTCCCAAGATTTAAAGGGGCAGACAGAATGCATTGGGAATAAGTGGTGGCTTTGTCTTCTGCTTCCAAGGATGGGAGGAAGGTAGTTGGGGTCCTGACCACCCTATTTCTGGCACAGATTGGCTGTTTTGGGTAAGGAATCGTGTTCTGTGGCTGGGAGGTGTGTGAGGCACGCACAGAGCAGGCTGGCACTAGGGCATTAGTATATCCCTTGGTGGATGTGTGTGGCTATGTAGCAGTCAGTGTGCTGAGGGAGCCAGGAGCTGACCTGGCCCTGAAATGCAGCAGCAGGAAGAACTCTTTAAGCAAACAGTGTTCTTTATGTTTTGTCAGTTATTCCCTAAAAGGAAAAGGAAACTCAACACTTCGTGCTGTTGGATGAGCATGATTGAAACAGTACGGTGATTAATCCTCCCCACCCTGAAACATTGCCCAGGTTTGTTTTATCATCAGCAGGAGAGGCAGTATTGCTGCCAGAACACAGTGTCTGCATTGCGCCCTGGCCTTGTGCTCAGCCCTCACTTCTGGCCATGGAAGGGACATGGGGGCAGGAGCTGCGTGGATGGAGCATGGAGCCTCCAAGGAGACATGAGCAATCCTTGTAAAAGAATTTTTGCTTTTCCAGACCCAGGGAGTTCCACTCTGCATTCATCTGTGATGATTTTGAACATTAGAGATTCTCTTCAGCAAGTTTTATAGACTCTCCAGTTCATTTTTATGAGGTTTATTACTTCTGCAAGCCAAATGCAGTTGCATTGCAGGTCATTGCCTAGGGAAGAGATTTCCCCTGACATCCATAATCACTGATGTGGGAGCTGCCCTGTGACACGGCTGGTGTCTGGGCTAGGTCCAGGCTTTGGCATCTGTTGCTCTGCAAATTATGCCTCCCAGCTTTGCAAAGTTGAAATAGCTCTGGTAACACACACGTCCTACTTACTGTTGAGGAATGTCTGGTGATCCAAGCTGAACTCAGCATCTCCCAGCAGAAAGGATGCAGCAAGCAGCTTTGCTCACAGAACTCAACCTGGGCTGCACGGTAGCTTGATGGCTGGGTTGCACTTTGAATCATGGAATCATAGAATCATTAAGGCTGGAAGAGACTTCTCAGATCCCTTAGTCCAACCCCAATCCATCCCACTGTGCCCGCTGCCCATGTCCCTCAGTGCCACATCCCCACGGCTCTGGGACACCTCCAGGGACAGCAATTCCCCCATATCCCTGGGCAGCTGTGCCACTGCATCACTGCTCTTCTGGAGCAGAAATTGTTCAAAATGTCCAACATGAACCTCCTCTGAACATGAGACCACCACCAATCACCCTGTTGCCATTACCTGGGAGCAGAGGCTGACATCCCCTCCCACAGCCTCCTGTCAGGGCTGCAGAGCCACTTCTCCCCTGAGCTCCTCTTCTCCATGCTGACCTACCCCGTTCCCTCAGCCATAGGGCTGTGCTCCAGTCCCTTCACATTTCTGTTGCTTTTCTTTGGACACACTCCAGGGCCTCCACGTCTTTCCTGTAGTGTGGAGGTGAGCATCTCCAGAAAGCCAACAGTAACACCCACAGCAGTTTGCCCATGGTCAACCTCTGACCCATTACAAGGCATCTTGGGTGTATATTTTTCTTTTCTGAGGTGTGGAGACTGCCAAGTGCTGTTCCTGCTGGGACTGGAGGTGCACTGGCAAACGTAGCAGTGCTTTTCAACTGCACATGTTGTTGTTTGCAGGTGGTTAACACTACAGGATAATTTTTTTCTGTGCTCGTTTGAAGCCCTGTAGAAACCCAAAGCTGTGAATTGGAGGAGGAAATGAAAGCAGCCCATTATTTCAGAAAATCTCAGTTTTCAGTGCTGCTGAACAACCAAGCCATGCAGCTGCTGACGCAAACCCTTTCATCTGCCCCAGAAAAGGGATTTTTGTCTGCAGCAGAAGCGACTCAGGTGTTGAGTGATGTTTGAGCAGCCCATGCGGCAGCTATTTGCATGAGAAATGCATTGTGGAGACAAAACTTTGATGTATTTACAACTTCTGAACACCCATTATGTTTCTGGTTGTGCTGCCTGAGATCTCTGTTGGCTGAGGTGAAACCAAGGAAGGCAGGGTATCACAACTTGGTGACTTTCCTATTTTATTTTTTTTGGAATGGATATAAATCAACAGGGAAAACTATTTCCTTGTTGCCAATACATTTATCTGTTCGAATTATCACAGCATGTTTTTGACTGACAGTGAGCCATAAAGGGTGAGCAATAAACACCCCCTTTGATGACCAAACGAGTTCACCATGGCTTGGATTGCTCAGCAGAGAAGCTGGAGGCTGTGAGCTGAGCTCTCACATTTGGCTCCTAATTAGGTCCCAGGCACACAAAGGTTCTCCCAGGTACAGCTTTGCTTTTACGGGCAGGCATCCCATCCGGGTAAGCTTGGTGGTGCAAGGCCATTCTGCCCCCGGGGCAGCCTCACCAATTGGAAAACAGAGAGAAATGCCTGAAACAAAAAAGACTTAGATTTTCCTGATTTTCTGTTTCAATTAAAGAAAAAGTTTTGTTTTGCAAAGTATCCAGATAGAGTTGGCCTCCAGTGCAGGGACGAAGCCCATGTCTGACTTCCACCTGGACACAGAGCTGTTGGCAACAGCCCTTGGCTGCAGCCCTCCAACCAATTCCTTATCCACTAAATAGTCCAGACTTCAAACCCATATCTCTCCAATTTAGAGATAAGGATGTGGTGTGGAACCATGCCGCATGTCTTGCAGAAATCCAGATAGCCCCGTTCATTACTGAGGCAGTGACCTGCAGGAGCACCTTGTAAACCATTCTGGAGCTGTGCATCTTTGCAGGGCTGATGCTGGTGACCTGGCGAGGATGCAGCAGCCCTGGTATGTGTGCTCCTGTGGGATGGGAACATCCTGGGAAACTCCATGAGCCATCCTTGTGTATGATTTGATTTCTCCTTCATCTGAGCTTATTTTTTTTTAAGTCTGAATATGACTTCAGTAATTTCTTTAATTAGGCTTCTTCTTAATGCAAGATTGCTTAAAATTATAAGCAGCTTCTCGACCAACTTAAAATTCAAGCACAATTAAGTTAAATAATATGATAGCAGGAGGCAAGGAAGTAAATGATCATTTTTGGAAGCAAGAGATAATTATTGCAATGCAAAACCCCAGGGATAGAATGATGGGTTTTTCTCAGTAATGAACTCCAGTTTTGGGATGCACTGTTTGTTTGTTAGAGGAGAACTTAAGCCCATGGAAGGTGGGAAGAGCCCGGACACATTGCTCCAGGAGGATCTGGGGAGGCTGCTGCCATCAGGAGTGGGATTTAGAGCATCTCTTTCCATAACCCTCTTACGTTAACAGATCAGAGCTGGGCTGAGTTAAGGAGCTGACTTCCAGAACATTAATGGATTGATAAAATATAATTCTATTATGAGATCATTCCAGGCACCTCTCCAGCTTGAACTGTGTACATAATTGTGTGGGGATCAGAGGTGAGAAGAGCTTGCTGCTAATCCTTATTTCCCAGGGCTGTCTGCTGGGATGTCATTAGGTAAACCAAATGTTCAGATGTTAAAAAACTGCATAATTTCATTTGGAGGAGGAACTTGATGGGTGCTGGGCAGAGCCAGGAGAGGTGATCATTTAGAAAAGTAAAATTAGAAAACTTTAATTTGAAGCAAATGGGACCACAGGAGGAGTTCTGCTACTAATGGCTTTGGTTTCAGCAGGCAGTTCCTGGGGCCAGGATACGCTGATCCATTTCTGTGCTCACCCCAAGAGAATCCTGAGAGTATCTCTCGCCTCCTGTACATTCAATTATTTTTTCTCTCTCTTTTTTTCCTTCTCCCTTCCCTGGCTGTCCTCCCCTCTTCCAGCAATGTGGACACGAAGGAACTGTGTGGTGAGTATAGCCCTACACACAACGCTTTGGAAGGGTGCATGAAAACTCCTAAAAGCCAACATCAGCTCCTGCTGTAGAGTCATTGAGATTGGAAAGATCATCTAGTCCAACCAGACCCATCACTGCCATACCACTAGACATCACTCAGTGTGCCATCTACCCTTTTCCTGACCATCTCCAGGAATGCTGACTCCACCATATCCCTGGACAGCCTGTGCCAGTTCCCTCTTAGACAGGAGCAAAACAAGAGTGTGGTGTATAATAGCAATAATGTGTTTATCCTTGGGCAAGACTCTGTGTCTCATAGCAGGCTGACCAAGAGCTTCTTGGTGCACATCCCTTGAATCACAAATTAAAGACCAAAAAGAACCCCATCGTCATGTTCGTCCCACACCTCTGCAGGAAAGGAAGCTGCCAGGAAAGGAGGGAGATGAACCATTAGCTCCTTTGGGAAGCAGGGGGAAGGTTCAAGGTCCAGCCTATATGCATTATCTGCTGCATACCTACCACTGCCCACCACTTCTGGTGTACTTGGTGCTCTTCCAAGAATTATTTTAAATATAAGGCCTCAGTCTGGCCACAGTGGAAGCTGTAATGTCTGTCAGGGTTGGTGGCAGGTTGGGCAACTTGTGGAGCTCCCTGACCCGAGAGAGCTTCCAGTGACAGGGCAGCTTGCATAGCTGAGCACACCTTGAACTCAAAGGTAAAATCACCCAATTGCATATGCACCTACAATTTAAATAAAACAACACTGATATTGCAACAGCAAACAGACCAGCAACACAAGTCGTGCTCTGTGCATGGAGATGTACATCATCCCATGGTGGGCAATGTACACTGCAACAGCATCCCATCGTCTCCCACAGATGTGGGACCGGGAGCAGTGCTGTGCAGGGCAGAAGGAGCTGCCCCTGGGTGTTCCGTGAGTGAATGAAGCCAAGGCTGTAGAAGTGCATAGCTGGAAGCTGCAAAAGGCAACACTGCTCTCATCCCACATCGTTTGTGCTCTCAAGAGCCGTGCTGTGCCCACAGGAGCTCATCTGCCCTGAAAAGCACTTTTTATTTCAGGATTTATAAGAAGAGTTTTCCTCTGCCTTTAAAAATGTACGCTCTTTCTTTTTTATTTTTCCCCAAGTAAACTAATAATAAGAGGAACAACAAAAAAAAGCACGCTGCAGTGAGAACATGCTGCTTGGCTCAGAGCAGAGCAGCAAACAGCTGCTGTCAATTATGTTGTGACATTCCTGTCTCTGCCAAAATCTTCTTCCCCTTGGATGTGTTGAGGGCTGTAAACAGCTATAGGCACTGCTAATTAAGCCAAGAGAACCTAATTAGTGGGATCGCTTCCTGGAATGTACTTCGTGTTGCATTCAGTGGAGGTGTCACCGCGGTGTGAATCCTCAGTCTGAGCGCTGGGGAGCAGTGCTGGCGGTGCCAAGGAACAGCTTTCAGCTGCCACGTGTGCCAGTTGTACCCAAAGGCTTCATTGGGCCTGGTGCCGCCCCACGCTGTTGTCACTGCAAACATTGGCCTTAGGGACTCTGTAGCTCACAAATGAAGCCACACTGCAGTTCGTGGTGGCGGAGTCCTCGGCTGTGGACTGTGTAACTTTTTTTTAACCTCCAATCTAACCTCCGTGTAACTGTGATGTGGGCTGTGAATGGGATGGGAATGCAGGGGGAGGATGCTGGCCAGGTCCTCACCGGGACAAATCTGTTTGTCATTTGGATGCTTTGGCTGTCAGGGGAATTTCTCTTGAGATGTCTCTCTCTCTGTTGGAAACAAGAGGAACTGTCCAAATGCAGAAGTGGGAAAAGAAGTAAAGTGCCATTTTTGATGGCAGCTGCTCTGTGTTACAGCTCTGTTTTACCATAACCCAACCCTTCTCATCCCCTCAGGGCAAGTTGTGTCTTAGGATCAGGGCCTAGGGAGTGAAAACACCCAGAATCACCCTCTGATTTTCCTTTCCTTCAATAAATAGACATTGCTGTGTCGTGTGGTCGTGGATTTAAGATACATCCACTCTTCCCATCATGTCCTTTTTCCCCAGACTATTTTGCCGATCACATGGGAGACTACGAAGACGTCCTGGCTTCACTGGAGACTCTGAACCTCTCCATCCTGAAGGCAATGGACTACACCAAGCGCGTGAGTGCCCAGCTCTGCCCTGCTCCTCGGCAGGGCAGCGTTCACATACGGCCATGCCCCAACAACCTGGGTTAGCAGCTCTGTGCGTTTGAAGGGTCGGAGGTTAAAAAAACGAGGACTGCACAAAATCAGAGACATTGTGATGCGTTTTGGATGTGCTTTGTACACTCCAAAGACCATGTCTTCATAAAAATTGCACTTTCCCATTTAGAGTGAAGAGCCTGATTTCCTTGCTCTATTGTAATCCATCCCTTTGGATGATTGTGAGGAAAGTCACATGGGAAGTGCAGATCCACATTTCACTCATTACTATCCTTCTATAATAAAAGGAAGGCAAACACTTTTGACCAGACACTGATCTGTCTGAAATGTCTGTGAATTTTTACCAGACATCATGAGAGGAAGAGAAACAAAACAAACAAAAAAAACTGCAGTAGTTCATTTTTTTTCCTAATTGAGTTGCTAGCTCTACTCACGCTTCATTTATATTCATTACGAGTAAATTTTCTGGCAGTCAGATCTGCCAACAATGTTTTGAATATGTGTTACCATGCTAATAGAAATCTCAGTAAAGCACTCCAACTTTCTGTTGGTATTGCCTTCCACCACTGCTTCACATACATATGACTAATACTTTCCTGCACGTTGAGAGAGGAGGATGTCTCATGCCCTGCCTTTAAATTAGAAACGTGAGCGTAACAGTACCAACTTGCACAAGAGTTCTGTTGAAGAACCTTATTCATAGTCCCAGCTCGCTGCCTTCACCAGAGCACTGTTCTCCCCCTTGATTCAGTAACCTGGGGCAGGATTCACCTGCCCTAATTGCAAAGTCTGAAGGTTATCTGCCTAATCCTGAGATGTCACGCTCCGAGAGATCGGTGGGAGGGGGTTGGGGGATGCAGAGCACCATGCACAGGGGCTCTGACCCACCAGAGGCCACGAGGCCCCTTGGGTGCAGATGGACAGATGGACAGATGTCTACAGTCAGGCGGGAGGAGGGCAGCCCCAGCACTTCATTGTTACCTTTTGTCAACCAAGCAGTGCTGCTGCTCACTGCTTTGGGAAGGCAAGCAAGGAGCTGGCAAATTAGGATTTCATGAAGAACACCAGCCCCTGCAGTGATTTTGTGAACAAAGTGATACAAACCTGATCAATGAATTATTCAAAAAACAGGCACTTTGTTCAAGGAAGGAACTGGGGAAAAAAAATAAAGACAGCGAGAAAAGACAGAAAATAAGCTGGTTTAGGTGGGAGAGAAACTCATCTTCAGTACTTAGATAGCAGAGGCATCCTGGCAACTTTAATTACATGCAGCAATGCCTAAATTCTGGACATGTTTTCATAGAAACATTCAGGATTGCAGAGACTTTGTGACATTCACCCTGTACAACCCTTTGGCTGCAGGTTTGTTAGAGCCACGCAGACTGACAGCACACACAGCAGTGCACTGCAGCTGCACCCAGGGAGGTGCTGGTGCCCAATGGGAGCAGTTGGAAATGTTCCTAATTCTCTCCCTCTCTCCCCAGTTCTTAACAGTACTCTGCAAACAATACACAAAGCCTGACTTCCTTATTGCCACACTCCTGTTGAGAAGTGCCTTGCGCTCTCAGAGGGGCCAATAACCGTGGCATTTAATTGCTGTTTGTATTTCTCACCTTAAAAGACAACTGATTATTTCTTGTTCGTAAGAAGAGAAAGCAGCAATTATCTTGAGCTGGAGGAGCCCATGAAGTATCAGCAGTAATTAGATTCGGCGGTGGAAGGTCTCATACAGCAAAACAAGATCTGTTATTGTAATTATTTTCCGATATGGAGATGACCATGCTGCGCTCAGTGACTGCCAATGACTGTGCAAAATGCAAAGTTAAATTGGAAAGAATGGAAATGAACTTCCGAGATCTAAAAAAAGCCAACAGCAGAATATGTTCTTGTACAACCCTCAGAGGATGCTTCATGGCACGGTGGGCAAATAGCAGAGCCACAGTGGCCTTGCATGCGGCAGGGACCCATGATCCATGAGATTCATGATCCTTGTGCTCCCTTCAAATCCTGGACATTCTGTGGTTCTGTGCTGGTCACTGGGAAGCCCAAGGCTTGGTATGTTACACACCTCTCCTGCGCCCAAACCTACAAGAATCCTTATTCAGATAAGAGAACTTGCAGATCATAAAGGTCTGCTTTCTCTAAGTGGACAACAGCTGATCCATCAACAACTTATGGACACACAGATAGACTGGCCAACAGAAATTAGATATGTCATGTTAATTTATGCAGATGCCATGCATTCCAGTGCCCAACTGCTGTCATGTATCCTTTCCATTGTTGAGGAAATGACTGTGTGCCTGATTTCCCTGGGGTCTATGAGCAGGATGCTCTCTTGCAGCTCTCACCCAGCACAGCAGCTGATTTCACTCCTCCAACATCCACCTCCAAAGCCAGCAGGTTCGGAGCCCAATTATGCCTCCTCATGCCTTGCAATTAACATCTAGAAATAAAGCAGCACTAGGCACGTTTGTGGCTTACCCATCACCTTCTCCAGCAGCAGTGCCTGCAGAGGAGCAGGCAGCACCATGCACCATCTGCTGCTGTACTCAGTGCTAAAAAAGAGGGATGTGGCATTTGTTTTGTTTCGTTGCACAGTCCAGAGCAGCAATATATAGTGCTCTTGTTTGCATTCTTACCTGCCAGAATTAAGTTTACCAGATATTATGTCCTTTTTTTCAGTCACTCCCATTCTGCTTTCAGAAGAGGGTTTCACCTAATACAGTTTCTCAGGCACTGCTGTACGTTAACTAAAACCTGCTTTCCCTTTCTATGTGAGACGTGGGCTGACAGTGACACCTGGGAAATGGGTTGGTGAGAGACAATGACCTGTAATCTGAATGAAATGCTTTTGTTCAGAAATGCTGAATGATTTCAGTCTTGTATAGCAAGATAACTAAATGATGTGGATTTCTGTAAAAGTTGTGCAGCTGTATTTTCCAGGAATAATCTAAGAGGAAACAAGGCATTAATTCAGCCTCCCAGAAAGCATTTCCAAAGGGAATTTCCAAACAGATTTCATCAGAAATCCTAGCAGAAGGGGGTATTTCACTTCTGCAGGAATTGAATCTTCCCCAGCTTTCCTGCTTGGGCTCCAGAGCAGAAAGCAATTCTCCATGTAGTGCCATCCAGAGCACACTCCTTGCCAGACCGTGGGACCACATGCCGCTTCCAGCCAGGCTGCCAAGCTCAGCAGGGAGAATGCAGCTTGAGAAGGGCTCTCCTGGAGCTTGTTTTTAAGCTAATATGTTTATTCACTGCTCCTCTGCCTCTCTGTCACTGCAAAATTCATGTTCCCTTCTCACTGCAAGAGAGAAGAACATGTGCTCTGGAGATCCTGCTGACCGTGCCCCTGTAGACTTCCTGTAGGGTAGGGTCTTCCCTCAGCAAGTTTGCAGATGACACCAAGCTGAGTGGTGCACTTGACTTGTAGAAAGAAGAGATGCCAGAGGGAACTGTACCAGCTCAGAAGTGGGTGCATGACAGCCTAAGGAGGTTCAACAAGGTGTTGCACTTGTCAGGGCAATCCCAGATAGGAGTACAGACAGGAAGAAGAACCCTGATGAGAAGGATGTGGGCATCCTGGAAGATGAAAAGCTGGACATGAGCCAGCAGTGTGTGCTTGCAACCCAGAAGGCCAACATCTGGGGCTGCATCAACAGAGGGGTGGCAGCAGGACAAGGGAGGGGGTTGTCCTCCTTTACTCTGCCCTTGAATGGCTCCACCTGGAGAACTGTGTCCAGGCCTGGGACCTCCAGTACAGGAGGGACAGAGCTGTTGGAGTGGAAGAGGATGTGATGATGGTCAGAGGGCTGGAGCATCTCTCCTATGAATAAAGGTTGAGAGGGGTGGTCTTGTTCAGTCTGGAGTAGAAAAGGCTCTGGGAGGACTTTGGTCACATTGTGATCTTTCAGTACTTGAAGGGAGCTTATAAGCAGGGAGAAAAACATCATTTTACTTGGGTGTACAGTGATAGGACAAGAGGAAATTACTTGCATTTAAAATAGGGGAAATCTAGGTTTTGGTAAAAAATTATTTGTTCGGAGGGCGGTGAGGCCCTGGCACAGCTGCCCAGAGAGTGCCCCATCTCTAGGGGTGCTCAGGGCCAGGCTGGATGTGGCTCTGGGCAGACTGAGCTGGGGGGCACCCAGCCACAGGGCTCGAACTAGAAGATCTTTAGGGTCACCTCCAAACCAAAGCTGTTCTATGGTTCTATGATTTCCCTTCCTCCCCTCCCACCTGAAGGCTATTGCTTGTGAAGTCAGCTAAGTTGTGTGGTCAGAGGGCAACTACATGGACGAGGTGTAAAAACGCCTTTCTGTGGCATCCTGTGGATCAAGGTGTGCATTCTGTATATGGGAAGTTCCTCTGATAACAAGGAGAAAGACATTCTGCAGCAAATTGCTCAGAAGGGCACTGCAGGAGGTGACAGATGTCAAGAGGAGTGACACTGAGCTGTACTCATTGGGTCCTGCCTTCCCCTGGGGACAACCCCTTGCCCCCAGCCCCGGCCTCAAAATACAGCTGGAGAGGGAAACCTATGCAGTCTGAAGGAGGTCTTCAATGGCACAGTGTGATGGGATTTATAAGGGAGGAATTTATAATCGTTATTTTTTAAATCCATGCAGTGCCATAGTTCCTTTTATCTGAACAGTTGTCTCATTTGTTTTCCCCCTGTTTCAGGAAGGCTGAGGGTCTTTCATATGGTAATGTTCTCATTTATCAAATATTTCAGTGTCTGTTCTCCTCAGGTTTCTGCTACTGATTATGTGCCAGGCAATCAGCTCTCAGCCTCCACTTCTGGAGGGAGTTAAGAGCACAGAGCGGGGAAGGAGCAAGAGGAAGGCCTGGGTGTTATTCTAATTACAAGACAAAATCTCATGGAAGAAAGCAGGCAATTATGAATGAGGAATTAGAATCGCTGTTCTGAGGCAGCATTGCTCTACATGCCTGATTTGTGAAGTGTTGGGTGGTGGGAGATAACCCTGCAAACACTCAGGGAGAGGTGGGTAGAGCTGCTTCATGGCCATGCCAATAGGTTTTCCCATAGGTTGGTTTGGGTTTTTTTTTTTTTAAGAAACAATTAAAGGAATATAATTGACTTTGGTTTTGCTCGAGCAACCTCATCGGCTCAGAGCCTTGGCTCTATTGGTGTGCTTCAGCTGGGGTCGGTGTTCTTAGCAACTGGAAAGACTGCCAGGTCTCCGAGCTCAGCAAATGTCACCCAGTTTGGCCTCTGTCACCCAAAGGCAGTGCTGGGAATGCTGGTGCTCAGTGCTGAGGCTCTGCAAGGCAAAGAGCTGCAACGGGCCTTTCAGCACATGAGCATCATTTATATTTCACGTCCTGGAGTCTTAATGAGATGAATGATGACCTTTAGAAATGCCAGCGAGAGGCTTTGAGATGCTCAACAACATCGACAATGTCCTTTTTCAGCCATTTGATACCCGCAGGAACATGATTACTGGAGCCCTATTTTGGGGACCAGTTCGTGACACCAGCGAGGGAGGTTTGTCTGCAGTGTCAGCAGGTCCAAGAGCTCATGGCACCAAAATTACAGCCTGGGTTTCCACAGGCAGATGATGGCAAGGTGCTTTATTTCATCAGTGCCAGAATTTCAAGCTGCAGAGAAGATGTTCTCTTATGGTGAGTCTCAGGAGAGATGGAAGCCCAGCACAGTGTAAAGCGAGGTTCAGCATCTCCTGTCAGACTTCTGCCTCTGCAATTCACTTCTTTAATACAAACGAGGATCTGCTGCTAATTAGCACCATCAGACCAAGCTTGCTAATACAATGCTGTGTGGCAGGGCAGCATCTCTGGTACCAAAGTCTTTCTAGTGTTGAATTAATGAACCAGTTAGATGAAAAAGAGAAGCTTTCTGAGATACACCCCTCCAGGATCTCCTGTCACAAAGCAATTATTTTATTATCCCCATAAATATTTTAACTTCCTGGGCAAAAGAAGTAAGAGGTATCTCTTCAGGGTGGAATTAATAATACCAAACCTCATTACATCTCCCTACGACAGGCTAACGAATGTTTTAATAAGACCATGGGAAGGATTCCTCTGGAGTTGGTCGACTTAATGACTTGTTTTTACAATGCCAAAGGGGACATTTACTCCAGCAGAGCTGGAGGGATTGCCAAGCAGCTCAGAGCACACTCCTGAGTGCAGATGTCACAGCTGGGCTGGCAGATGGCCACAGTTATTCGTTAAATGAGGGGAAAAGAGAAAAAATCATTGATTTTCATTTCAGAGCTGTTGGTCTCGGACCCACATGGAACTCCTGTCATATCTGGCCTCACAAGCACCGAGGTATTAGTGGAGGTAAAGAACTGCTTTTTGAGAGGAAACAGGGGTGGCTTTGGGGAACAACCTGGATTCATCCTTGTGGCTGTGAGGGAGCGCTCCCCGGATGTTCTGAGCCCCTCGGCCCATTCCCTGCACCCAGAGCTCTATAGCTGATCAGGTTTTGAAAAGCACAGTTCAAGAAAATCCTCCTGAAATCACTTTTAACGCACTGGGATTTTAATAGCTCTGCAATCAGCTGTTTACCTCAGCAACAAGCAGCTGCTTTTTAAGCTCCCGCGTTTCTCACCCGATGGCTGACCTGTACCAAAAAAGACACAGTGCTTCCAGTTCTTCCCATGGAGACAGCAGGATCACGGGGCCGTGGGTTTTCATTGACCACCATATCAAACCAGTGACTACAGGAGAGGGCAGGAACAGGCTTCTCAGGATGAACACTTCTACAGGAGAAACCTGTGGAAACACCGCAGGGAGATTTGTGGCTCATTAAGAACTGAGCATTACTTTTATACTTCGTTAGGCAATAGGTTATCTGGTTTCCCAGGGCAGGGAACACCAACACAAAGCACGTGCATAGTCCACACCTTCTTAAAACCTTTTATTTTCCAAAAGGAACAGGCTCGTGTGCCTGACTTGATGAGAAATTGTGCAGTGGTGCTGGTAGGATGCAAGCAATGGAGTCCTGGAGGGCAGCAGGAAACTGGGGGCAAATTGAAGCACAGCTCCTGGTTTATTCGATCAATTCATTTCCAGCTTCGTAACAGAGACTGTGCGCAGCTCAGCCTTTGCCCCAGCACCTGCAATCAGAGCAGGGCTGGTTGCTGGGGCTTAATCAAAACTCATCTGTAATTATAGCCGAGCCTGCTCAAGAGCCTGATTAATGTATTTATGCCTCGGTTTTGCACAGGCTTCCGTGTGCGAGGCCCCAGGGAGGAATCAGTGGTGAGGGGAAAATGCTGAAGAAATGGGTTCAGATCTCAAATGCAATTATGTGTTTTTGCCAATGAGATTTGTCAGTTTAACACCCCTCCTTAGCATGAGTGTGAATACTGGGAGATTGTTCAGGAATTCAGGAGTATTTGAGAATGCATCTATCCTTTCCCCCACCCGAATGCTTAGCAAATGTTCCCACACCATGTCCTTGCAGACTGGGGCCTCCCACTGGAAACCATTTAATTCACCCCATTGAAGCCCTCTTTGGGAACACCTGCTCCTTTTCACAGCAGTGCAAACGAACAACGGGGATTCTTCTGGATGTTTTTGCTGCTGTCATGAAATAGGCAGCCTGAGCTGACTCAGGGTTTTGCCATTGCTCTTCCTGTCCTACCCGCTTGCACCAGGTGGGCATCATCGCTATGGCCCCAGCAGCCCACCCTGCCTTTCTTTTCTACTGACAATTATTTATCAGACACTGTAACACCATGCAGTGTGCCTGCTTGGGCTGATGTTGGCCCAGATAGGCTGGGGTGAGACCAGTTGGACTGGTGTTTGTTGGGCTGGTTCGGGTGGTGCTGGGACAGCGTTGGACCAGTTGGGCTGGTGTCAGTCTGGTTGGGTTTGTGTCAGTCTGGTTGAGTTGGCATTGGTAGAGCTGTGCTGGTGTTGATCTGGTTGTTCTGGTGTCAGTCCAGTTGTGCCAGTGGCCCAAGGGAGGTGGGAGGAGCACGTGGCAGAGCAGCAGAAGGGCTGTGCTGGTGAAGAGACTCCAAGTGCTTTAAGAAAATCGGTGTGCCATTGATTATTTCCCCTCTCTAGAGGGCTTGGATTACCGTGGGAGCCTCTATCACACAAGAGTAAAAAAAAAAAAGAAAAAGAAATTTGCTCAATTCAAAGCAATTGGGACAAATCCATTTGAAAACCACTTTGAGGCTGAACAAGGTGAGATGGAACTGTTTGGAGCAGGGCTGAAGCAAGGTTAGTTTCATTACCTCACATGTGTTAATTTGTCAGTGATTCCCACCAGACCCAGCTGAACATCACCGCGCTGTCCCTGCACACAGGTGTATGAAAGCGGAAGCAATGTGGACCAGTTTGTCACCCGCTTCCTGCTGAAGGAGACAGCCAACCAGACCCAGTCACTGCTGAGCTCGGTGGAGAGTGCTGTGGACGCCATTGATGAGCAGACCAACCCCTCCAGGTCAGCCACTGCCTCTCCCCTCCGCCCACGCTTCTCAGCTGGTCTCATTATGAGGGACTTTTACAGGGGCTCACGGCCCTGTAAGAGGAACTGGTGGAGCAGCTGTCTTTTCCAGCTTCCCCAGGAGCTCTCGGGACTTTCCTCTGAGCAAAGCCACCCTTGGGACCTGGTGGATGTGTCTGGGATGTGCTGGGACAGCCCACGATGTCTCCATCTCCATCTCCATCTCCATCCCACCCCATTCCCACTCGCCCATCACATCACTATTCATCCCCATCACTGTTCCCCATCCTCAGGGGAAAGCCTGAGGAAGGTGGAGGAGATTGCTTCAAGATTAATCTCAGCCAGGGCTGAAATACCAACAGGTTCCTGCAGGATTGCCCAAACAGCCCCAGCTGGGGGCGCTATGGGATGCTGACCAAGCAGCTCTGACATACACAAACTGAGAGGGCCACGGGTGCTGTGGTGCTGTGGTGTCCCCGGACTGTACTGGGAGGAGCGCTCTGAGCGTCTGTTGGTTTCATCTCCCATTGTGGAAGGCTCAGCAAGGCGTGGTGCAGAGCAGATGGGAATAGCACGGGCTGGTGGGGAGAAGGAAGTGACAAACAGAGCTGCTGAAAGTCCTCACTGTCCGTTGTTTTTTGCTGGCGTGTGAACCTCGCTCATCGTAAAGGGCATTGGCGCCTCCCCCCCCCGCCCCCCACCCCCGGGGGAGGGCGGGGGGCCCCAACCACAAAAAAAACTGATCTCTTGCATCAGGGGTGGCCTAAAAAGCAGAGAATCAGAGGGCTGTGAAACATCTACCCATCAGTGCCTGGCCCATCTCCAGCACCCACTTCCTTGCAGGCAGTGCCCTGGCCCAGCCGGCCTGGCGCTGACGGAGGCCTGGCATGGCAGTCCTGTGCCCAGCTACGCAGCCCCCGGCCGCATCGTTCCCCAGGGCCACGGGAAGAGCAGCCAGAGCGGTGAGTGGACAGAGCTGCTGCTGCCCCAGCAGCCCGCGGCAGCACATTCCAGGTGCTGGGTGCATGCCCACGGGCGCCTTTTGCTCTGTGTTCCCGCAGGTGCTCCCGAGCCCAGGCAGGACGGGCTGGAGGGGCAGATCGGCAGGCTGGCCGCACTCATTGGCAGGCTGGAGGACAAGGTAGGGACTGCGCTTGCCCAGCATCACCCTGGCCACCTCCACCATTGGCAAGAGTGCTTTGCTTAAACTTCATGTTCCTATAGATGGAGTTGAAATCTCTCACAGAGGCAGCGTTACTCCATCTAGGGACAGGCAGAGGGAATACTGAGGTGCCAGAGGAGTTTCCAAAACCCTTGATGTTTGCCAAACGCTTTCAAGGCAGAAGAGTGTGGAACAACGATTTCTCTTGGGAGAAATGCAGTGTTGGCAGTTTGGGGCCATTCTAGGGCAGATGGAGTGATGTGGGGCCATGTGCCAAGTCCCTGGCCTATGCCTCACCAAGGTCTTCATTGTGCCATGAGTCCCCAGATATCAGCTCACATCTGGTGCTTCCCATGGGCACAGGCTGGGCTTCTTCAAGCTTCCAGTGTATCCAGGGCAGGAGGTGACTCCATTCCCCTCCCCCTTATGGGGCACCGCTGCCCCCAGACCACTGCAACGCTCCTCCTTCACCAGGGCTCTCTCAGTGGCTGTCCCCAAGCAGTGGACACCCAGAGGGACACGCTGCCCCATCCTCCCTTTCCCCTTTGCAGACTCTCTGGTTTGACCTGCACCAGCGGCTTTCGGACAGCGAGAGCACAGCTTGCACGGTGAGCATGTGGCTCTGCCACCATCATCACCCCGTGGTGCCCCGCACGATGTCCCTGGGTGGGATGTTGCACACGTCAGGTCTCACATGCTGCTCTCCCCCCAGTACCTGCTCCTGGTGCGGGATGAGATGACGGTGTCACACAAGCACTTGGACGAGTTCTGCAGCTCCCTGAAGCAGTACCTGAAGAGCGTGGCTGGGGAGCGGGACTGCTTCCAGTGCGTACGGGGGGGCACAGGGGATGGAGTCAGCAGGAGGTTGGGATGCTGGGAACTGGGGGCACCCTCAGTGGCTGCAAGGACAACAACTGGGGGTGCCCCCATGGGGAAGGCTGTGGTGCCCAGGGATGCCCACAACGGCTCATTCTCACCCCACCACTGCCAGTGTCACTGCAGTCAAGCTGCCCGACGGAGTCACCTTCATCGTCTATGAGTTTTGGGAGACCGAGGAGGACTGGAAGAGGTAGAGTGGGATGGGTAGGAAGCTGCCAGCTGGGGGGATTGGAGAAGCTTGGTGGGGTGAGAGCAGGGCTTGGCTGAGCTGTTGCCTCGGACATGTGGGGAGGGTCTGCTGTCCCCTTTCTGGTGGCAGGAGTGGGGGTCCCTGTGTGTCTGCAGGGTTCAGGCAGGCTGGATGGACAAGTGGGGTTGGGTGGTGAAGGGATGGGGGGCATGGGGGAGGGCACAGGGAGCAGAGATCTGGCTTCTTTCCCTCAGAGTGTGGGATGATTTGGGGTGGACAGGATGGTGACTGTGGGCTGTAACACACCGCAGGCACCTGCAGAGTGCCACCTGCAAGGGCTTCCAGCATGTCAAGGTGGATGCGCTGAGCCAGCCTGAGACCATCTCCACTGTGGCTGTGCCAGGTAGGACCCGGGGTGGGGGCACAAGCAACCTCTCGGCAGTGGGAGCACAGTGAGTGGTGGAGCTGAAGGGATGTGTGCTGGGGTGACACTGGGTGACTCCAAGTGATTTCCCCTGCAGCTGCCTGGTGCACCCTGAGCCAAGACTGACTGTGCAGGGACCTGGCTGCGCCCCCCACCCCCTGCCAGGCACTGTCCCCCGCATTGTGTTGGCCAGAGGGCAGTGTGATTGTCACCTGTCTGCAGCAGAGGAACTCCCCTTGTCCCCCATCAGCAGCACCTCACCCTGAGCTGCCCCACTCCTGGGACATCTCTCCCTACATGGGGTTGGCTCTTTGTGGCCTGGGACGGGGTGGTGATGAGGTGGATATGGTGGGAGCAGACCCCTCAGTATGCAGGAGGTGTGTACTGGGGTCTCTGATGGGTAGATCCAGCATAAGGGAGGGAAGAGGGATGGAGATCTGCAGGGCGCTTGGGGCCCCAGTGGGGTGGAGGTAGGTGCCTCGCAGGCCTGAGGGTGGCTGATCCCCCAGTCCCAGGGTCTGTAAGTCTGTGTGTGCCTGTCTGTCTGTCTGTGCACACTCTGCCCCATCCTGCCCAGCCCCATGGGGGAATGACAGGGCCTCACAAGGTGTCCTCCCCTCTATCCAAGTGTTTATTAACGATAGAACAACGGAATTGATAATATTGAATAAACCATGATGGGAGCCAGCTGCAGTGTGGCTGTGTCTGGGATAGGGTGGTGGGGGGATGTGGGAGGACATGAGGCTACACATCTCCTCAATACAGCAGCCCCATCACAGCCAGGGCAGCGCTCTGCCCGCATACGAAGGTGCCCCCCAGCACAGAGATGACACCCCAGGTGATGAGCACAGCCCTGCGGAGACACAAGTTGAGATATGGGACACAGCCCCCGCTTCAGCAGGGATCAGTCTTCGCAGGGTCCCATGCTGCTCCAGCTCCTGTGCAGTGACACATAATGCCTGGTCAGAAGCCTGGCTGCCACCCCGTGGGATGTGCCCTCACTACACTGCCACCAGGGCAGACTCAGTGGCTACTGGTGCCACCCTGAGCACCCCAGGAGTGACACTTACCCCCAGGTTGCGTTGCTGCTCCATCATGAGGTCACCAGCACCAGGTGGGCAAGGAGCACAGAACGGGGTGGGTGGGGGTCATCTCCCCAGACTGCCTCAGGCACAGTGATGGGCGCGCAGTGCCCAGCGAGTACCCAAGGGCCACCCTTCATTAAGCACCAAGTCCCTCTGGCCCCCAGCATCTCCAACCCAAACCCTGGGGCTGTGGGGTCCCAGCTCCATGGGCCCACCTTCCCTCCCAGTCACCCCTGCAGGCACATCCCTGGCACATGGGACATCCCCTGATAAGATGAGCACATCCCTGAAACCACAACACATCCCTGATGTATGGATACATCCGTGATTAGTGGACACCTTCCCAGTGTATGAGCACAGCTCTGACACCTGGATACCTGATACCTGAGCCCATCTCTACTGTGCTTGTACCTCTCCAAGTCCTGGGCGTATCCCTGGTACACTGGCAACCCTGACACCCAGGCACACCCACAATGCCCATGCATAACCCTTACACCTGAGCACACCCTCAATGCCTGTGCATAACCCTTACACCTGAGCACACCCTCAATGCCCTCCTTATACCTGGGCAATGCCCTCACACCAACTCCTCCAACCCATCACAGCCCCCACGTCCCACATTAAGTGCTGCCCCAAATTCCCCTCCCTCCTTCCCCATAGGGTTCCCACCCCATCACCTATATTCCCATGGGGATCCTGTACCCCAACCATCAACCAGGGAGACCCTGTGCCCTGTCCCACCCCCAAGCCTGCACTCACTTTTTGGGTGCCCCAATGGCTTGTGTCCCCGTCATGCACACCAGGCACAGCCCTGCCACCAGCACAGGTGCTCAGCTCCAACCTTGTGGGTACAGAGCCGGCAGCAAGACCAAAAAGGCCCCACAGCCTCCCATCCCTCCCCCTCCCTGTGCCTGCCTGGGAAGATGAAGATGAAGAAAGCACTGATGCCGCCGATGAGCTCGATGACCTTGCCGATGTCAGGGACAAACAAGGCGATGGCGAGTGTGGCAGCCATCCATGAGATGGTCAGTGCCACCCGGCTCTGCCGCTCGTGCCTCTCAGACACAAGCGTAGCCCTGAGCTTGGGATGTGCCCACAGGTCCTGCACCACCGACCTGAGTGGTGGGGACAGCTTAGGGAGCGGGGAGACATGGGAGGGACCGAGGGGATAGGGATGGCCCAGCAATGCCCACTCACCGTCCCAGCAGCACCACAATGGGGTAGATGGTGACGATGGAGACACCAAAGAGCAGGCGGGCAACGATGACAACAGGGTCGTTCCCGGGGTAGGACATCAAGACGTCGGGGGCCACGTCCTCACCAAAGGTCAGGTAGCCATAGAGCCCTGCGGGCAGGGAGGTGGCCATGGACTGTCATCAGGGTGGGGATAACAGTGCCCTGTGCCACCAGCAGGAGCGGGACACAGCAGCAGGAAGGAGAGCGGATCCGCAGACCCCCAGGAAAGGAAGCGGCGGTGCTGGGGTTACCAGTGAGGGAGTAGATGAGGAGGCAGATGAGCATGGAGAGCGTGGAGATGGCCACCCAGTGGGAGAAGCTCTGGTTGCGCATGCTGCTGTAGATGGCCACGCAGGCCTCGTGGCACTGCAGGGGGACAGCATGGCCACCTCCCCTCCTGCTGCAGCCCACAGCGGTGTTCCCAGGGACACCTCCTGCCTGCAGCTCCCCAGAGGGAACCCATCCCAACTGCACCCTATGGGTGGGGACATACCTGGAACCCAAAGCAGATGGTGGGGATGACGCTGAACATGGAGGCCCAGGAGGAGGCCCTGCAACACGATGGGAAGGAAGAGCAAAGAATACCAGGTGCCGGCGGCAGAGGGGACCTCGGTAGTATCAGCCATCCCTCTGCAGAACCTCCCATCTGCCAGCTTGGGAGGGCTGGGGGCTGCTGCCACCGCTGGGGCAGGTCAGGGGGACGACGGCGCTGCCTTACCTGGGGGGCCGGGCAGCCTGCGGGAGTCCCAGACTCCCACCCTGCAGGTGGTACTTAAGGACGATGACCAGCGTGAGGTAGCAGGCGGCCAGCGTGCCCAGGATGCTGCGGGGACGGAGAGATGGGGGGCGGGCACGGAACAGGGCCCCGGGGGACCCGCGGGCTGCCACCCCAGCACGGGGCGGCTGCGGGCACGGGGCGACGCGGCCGTACCTGGAGTACTTCTGGAAGCCGATCTCCCTGGGCACGGACAGCGGGAAGATGACCAGGGCACAGAGCGCCGGGAGGGTGAAGCGCTGATCCACGAACCACGGGGAGCCCTCGCTCAGCGCGCCGGGCGGGTACAGCGAGTCGCACACTGCGGGGACACAGCTGCACCCAGCGCCGCGGGCGGCGCCTGCCTGCCCTCAGCCCCCAGCAGCTCACGTTTCTCCAGCTGGTCGCCCACCACCCTCAGCAGAGCCACGGCGATCATGAAGAGGTTGAGAAGGAAGCAGAGCTCGCAGAGTCTCCCCGCCGCCGGGCCGCACACCGCCCGCACCACGCCTTGGTAGGTGGGCTGGGCGCTGCGCGCCGCCGCGTAGCCCAGCACCGCCAGGCCGCTCACCAGGAACACCAGCGAGCCCTGCGGGACACAGCGGGAGCAACCGGCCCCTCGTGGGGACACGCAGGGGGGTTCGGGTCAGCCCCAGTGCCGACCCATCCTCTTGGCAGCGGCCTCAGAGAGAAGGGGGAAGGCGGGGAAGAAACGGTTCTGGGTGGTCCTTGGGGGTTGGATTGAGGTTTTCAGGATACACAGGGGACCGACGATGAAATTTTGCTTTAGGTTGAGGCACAAATTGACTTTGGTGTAAGAGGTGCAAAGGGTGGCAGTGGTTTCCTTTGTCCTGGCGTGGGTTCTGCACACCTTGCAGCAGGAAGGGTCCCAGAGCTCCAGTGACAAACGTGGTGTGAAAAGCTGAACCTCTGCTTTCAGCCTGATCCCACTTCTGTCACAACCTCAGCTTCCTTTCGGGCACCAAGATCCCAGCAGACACAAACAGGCTCTGCCAGCACTGCAGTGTCCCTGTCCTCATCCCCACCCTTCTCCCCCATCCTTGTCCATCCCCATTCCCGAGGGCAGCCCCCATTCTCTTACCAGCTCCACCAAGATGGCAGGCACAGCACCCCCAGCCTTGCTGAACGCCCAGGGGAAGCTGAGCAGCCCGGCACCCAGCGCAGACTTGAGCATGATGAAGACGGCGCCAGCAGAGGAGAGCCCAGTGCTGCCCATGTTCCGCAGCCCCAGCAGTGGTCGGCCCTCATCCCCCTCCATCTCCCAACGGCCCAGGAGGGGACTGGGCTGGGGCTGGGCCAGAGAAGCGCGTTCCACTCCGTCCCCCTCCAGCGGTCCCTGTGGGGGCGGGAGTGGGGCTCTGACCCCCGCCTCCACGGGGCTGGCAGGGAGGTACCATGAAGGGACTCCCCCAAGACCACCCAAGGGCACGGGCCTCGCCCCCAGGCTGGGGACCCTGGGACAAGGGGCCTATCCCCCCCGAAGGGGGTGGACACGCCATGGCTTGGTGCAAATGCTCCCGCAAGATCGAAACGTGGCACCAGCTACAGGCTCCAAGCGCAGGGTCCCCAGCACCAGCTGACAGCCCCTAATGCATTTTTGATTTCCCAAGTATGTGGCCTTCTGATCTCGGTAAGATGGATAAAGAGACTTTAATCAGCTGCTAGGAGGAATTATGGATGGCTAATTGTGCCTGCCACCTCCATTACATATCAGCTGCCTACAGGGCTTAGAACCATTTGAAAGGGTCTTCCAGACCTTCATTAGTTGCACACCAAAGGCTTCAGGAATAATTGGCCTCTATGATCTAGAAATTGGCCACTGGGCTGTAAAATACCAGCCACTGGGAAAGGCTCTTAATTTGGACTGGGGCTTTGATGCAACTTGACTCTGGTCTCAAGGCTGCGTAGGGGCTGTAATCTCTCATTAGCGCTGCGATGAGAGGAGCAAGCCTCCTCATTAGTGCCAAAGCAGAGGCACCAAAGCTTTCCAGGCTCCCTCCTCCTGGCAAATCAAAGAGATTCACAGCCCACCTCCCACACTAGCACAGCAGCCCCGTGTGGGGTTCCTGCAGGCCTTGGTGCTCCCTAGCTGGCATTCTTTTCCCCTTCTCCCACTTCCTGCAGCACCTCAGCCCCCAGGCTGAGCCACATGCTGGGCTGGCAGCTTCACCCACTGCTGGGCCTCTTTGCAGGTGCCCTCCTCTCCATCTATGATAGCAAAGCTGTCTTTTGCACAGTTACCTTTGTCTAACTGCCATCAGAGGTACAAAGGTGTGAATAAACCTTGTTTCAGACTGTCAAAGTCCCCAGCATCCTAGTGCATATTCATTTTAAGGACAAAGACAGAGGGGACAGAAGGGAAGGAGTGAAAATTTTCACTATTCAACGATCTGCTCTCTGACAGGCAGCAGGAAGACAGCTGTGCAGCACTCTGTTTGAGCTTCATAGAGATAACGTATTTATTGAAAATCTGCTTCACCAACAATGGTGAAATCATGACCAAAAATTACAAAACATCATAGTAGTTGGCTTTATAAAAATAAACTGCAGAACTATGTCAAACTGATTTGTACTAGTCTCTCCTGCCCCCT